GCCAATTGAAGGGTTTATCTCAAATGGAAATTAAGATTTCTTGTTCTATATGGTGCAACTCCACTGGAGCAATCTGCCCCATCAATCTGACTGCAGCCCTATCAAACCCATGGACTTGCAGGTTACAAAAGGAAAAGATTGCAGCAGGTTTCAATTTACATAACTTTGGGTTATTTACTCCCGATTTCCTCCTCCCAGTTTAATGTTGTTCAGTAACATATATGCAGGAAGAACATATTTTCTTTACATTCCTTATGTGCTTCTTGGTGGTCTAAATTGTGCATATTTGAGAATATAAAAGTATTGTTAGTCCACAGAACAGGTTAATGCAAACACACTCCCATGTACACAATCTTGAGCACAGCTACCATTGAAATCCATCTGTATGAAGGAAGGGAATGTGCAAAACCCATACTGAGAACAAAAGTATGGTATGGATGGCCTGCTCATTTCTTGGCCACAAAGGCAGGTATGAGAAACTGAATTCCTCTGCTACAGAGGAATATATTTTAGAAATATTCTAGTGTTTATAAACTTCTCAGTATGTAGTAATCCATGAGATCAGATATAAAGAGAAATTTATGGATATCATGTAAGCCCCTGTTTGGAATTATAGTTTAGAACGTGCAGTCCTGTATCAACTGGAGTATCAAAAAGCAAATTATTTTCTTTAAATAATTTTTTTTTAATTTTTACATTCAGTTTATTTGGCACACAGATCACACATTCATTCCATTAATCATAAGTGTGTGCTGGCTAAAGATGAACACCATCTCATGCTGGCATTTGATTGCATTCAGCTGATAGTTACTCTTCATCGTGCTGCTTTTTAAGGAAGCAATCAGGGAAACAAGTCTAAAAACTTCCATTTGCATTATCTAAAATGTATTGGAAGCAAGGCCAAAACTGTTTAGGTTTCCCATTTAACTCCAGAAGCCCTGAAAGCTACGTATGAATTTGAAACTTTAAGGAGATTCGTGATTTACTTTACTGCAATGGCTGGGTAGGGAAACTATATACAAGTATTAAGAGGAAGGATAATGATTTCTGCCATCACTGTAGGGTATAAGGATACACTTTCTATGAAGGTCACATTATTCTGAAAAGATCTGGGAATCCCTTCCTCCAAAAGCAAGTTAAAAACCAGAAATTAATGGACTCAAACCACACTAGTAGTACATCCAACTATTTAAAAAAGACTTGCCCATACAACAACAATGCCAAATACAAATCTGGTTACATTCCATATGCAAGCCCCAAAGAAAAGTATTCTTGGGGGACCCTCTCAGCTGCATTTGCATTGTAAATACATCTGCAAACTGAATTCCAGGCCAAAGCCCCATTGTTCCAGCTTCCACAAGGCATCACTATCAGTATTGAATTTAATCATTGTGCCAATCCATCCATCCACCTAGAAAACAAATACAACCATTCTGAGTGGGGTTCTCATGAGTAAGTGATTGGAAAATCAATGTGACTCGTTCTCTTAAGTCAATTACAACCAGATATTAATGGTATTTATGTGTCTGGAGATCAAGACAGACACCTGATGGGGCTTTCACAACACCTACCTCCCACTGAAATCTCATCTTCTTAACTTGCTTACATGAGCTACTAAAAAGTTTAATTAATGAATGATTAAAGTGCTTATATAGTGTTTCATGATCCTTAGGAGAGATGCATGTAGCCTGAAAGCATTTTTATTCAGTCCTCTAGAATGATAAATCAAGGACTTAGGAATGCTGGTGATTATGAGGAAATGAAAGAGAGCCTGGTAATGCCTTTCCTGCAAGCACTGCAACAGTCCCTGCATTATAGAAGCAAGTATTATATCCTATATTCTCCTTTCTAAAGGCATAAGCACTGTAAATATTTTTGGACAAGCAGTAAAGGAAACGGTCTTTAGATTTCTTCAGATATTCATTTCAACTCCTATGCTGCCCATTATGTTGGATTCTAATAGCTACATGAAATTCAGCAAAGAATCAGTAAATAAAACTATTAAAGGTAATTATAATATGGAAGCATGACAAGTTAGAATGTAGTCCATGCAATCAGACTTACTGTCATGAATATATTATCCATAGTTTGAAATGTGTGGCTAAAGAATCCAGTCCCAAATACCAAAATGCCCAATGGTAAGATGTAGATTCTGCAGCCACATATTACAAAAATATATGTCAGTTGGAGGCAATGAATTTCATGTCTTGTGAAAAGATACAGGGAAGATAAAACCAGCTGAAGGCTAGAGTTTTACTCCCTGATGCACCCTATGTTAAGTCTTGAAATAAAATAGTTGTCTTAAATTTGAAAGGTTCCAATGATTTAAAATAATAACAAATATTGAAGGGTGAAAAAACCAGAAATATTTTAAAATGTGTATCAGAACACGATTTATCTTCAAAGACTGCTTTGTTGGTTTTCAAATTACAGAATGTAGGTAAGATTTCCATGCCCATATAAGAAAATGTGTCCATTTATAGACTGCCTTAAAATTTGTACTGTCTGCATCAGTGCACAATGTCCCCTCAGTGCAAGACTGGCCTGCTGAGGGACAGAGCATCCTCCTTTCCATCTTTGATAAGTACATACTTTGATGCAGTCCTCCAATATGTAAACATTCCATAGGGACCCGTTGTGAAACTGCAGCTCTGTTAAGGGACTTTGGATATTCTTAGACTTCTGCCTCTTAATGTGGGAATGACACATGACATTGCCAAGGCAGTTTGAAAGAAAAAAAAAAAAGTTATCTGGCCTTCATATTAACATAAAGCCAAGTGTGCAGCAATGGAATCAATAATTTTTTTACCATGTAGGAAGTCCTTTTATACAATTTACAATCTGTTTATTTGCCCAAGTAATTTTATTTTGTGTAGTATTTTTTATCAAATGCCTGAAAGACTTGACAGTTTTGAAGGATCCAGTTCCATATATGTAGTTTTGTAGATAGTCTTGATTTGTTGACAAATCACACAACTGTTTTTTACCCAAGTTCTGAAACTACCAATCAACTACTGTCAACTTTTTGAAAGAACACATCACTTGCCTAGCAAAACACTAGTAATTTACAATACAGTCCTTATAAGATGATTTTCTCTATGACAAAGTTTTGAAAAGATGCTTGAAATTATATTGCCACCTGCTGTTTCTGACAAAAAGCAGGAGCCAGGTCTGGTTTGCTATATTATTGAAAATTCTGCAAGTATAATGGAAATCTATTAATTTAGGGAATCCATTGTGAAGCAGGAGATGAAATCTCACTGCTTTTATCACCCATCTTGTATGTTCTGTGCTTCACAGGACTTCATAAGCAGTGCACTGTTAAGAAAAACTCCAGGTTTTTTTTCTTTCCTTCCCTTGTTCTAGTCCCTAAATGAAAGTTTCAAAGACTTCTTAGCTGATGTATAGATAAGCACCAAACAATAAGCTGCAAAGCAGTATTGGGAGGGAAAAAAAAATCTTAATTTTGTCTGCTGAGTGATAATTTTATAGAAGCACAAGCGAAGAGTTCAGAGATTTTGTGCACACAATAAACTCCACCTCAACCGTCTATTTCTCTATTATTGCTTAGTTTCCTGTGCAACCTCAAAAGGGGCAGCACTTCTCTTACTGCCAGCTGGAGAACACACCAGAGGATCTGCCTCTTTATCTATGGTACCTTTGGCAAGTAAAAATGAACCACATCTAGAAGCAACTCCAGACAGATCTTGAGGTCTTAACCTCCTTTGAAATAATGGAATTCAGTAAGCACAATCCTAAATGCCATCCTGAATAGTAAAATAACTCAGCGGGCTCTGAAGCATTTTATTGAATCTGACTATATTCTTTAACACAACCAAATCCTCCTTTGCAAAACGTAGATGCATTTAATTTGCAGGTTTACGGGTCCCATAATTCCAGAAGGTGTACCCACACAACAGCACTGCTCAGTCCACAGCTCCCAAAACGCTTCTGGCCGCATCGCCCAGTTCAGCAGGAGCGCGATGCAGAAAGCGCCGCGGCAGCGCAGCACGGCGGGTCCCGCCAGGACACGGCCGGGCCACGGGACGGCTCCTACCGGGCCACGGCTGCGCTGGCTCCCTGGGGAACTCCGCGCCCTCCGCTCTCGGCTCTCCCTGCTCGGCTGCCCCGGCTCGCCCCGCTCAGTGTCTCGGCTCTCCCTGCTCGGCTTCACTGCCGCTCCGGACGGGGCTGCGCGGCCGCCCCCCCGCACTGCCGGGACACCTCAGACCGCTCTTCCGTCCCCACCTTCAGCCCCTCTCCTACCTTGTCCACTTTGCCCAAACAAACAAACAAATAAAATGCGAAAATAAATAAATGAAGCCCGCAGCGGCCAGCTCAGACCCTCCCCATCTTCTCTCCCCGCCGCTCGCCCCTCGTTCCCCTGCTTTCCCTCCTTCCTCCGCAGCTCTCGAGGCTGCGGATAATCGCCCGGCTATTGCTTCGCACCCTCAGCGGGGTTGCGAGACCCCATCCCCCGGGACGAGGGTGTGCGGAACTCCATCCTGCCGGGACGGGCGGGCGCGGGATCCCATCCCCAGCGCTCCGGGCCCGGGGGATGTGCGGGACTCCATCGGGATCCCATTCCCAGCGCTCCGGGCCCAGAGGGATGTGCGGGACTCCATCGGGATCCCATTCCCAGCGCTCCGGGCCCAGAGGGATGTGCGGGACTCCATCGGGATCCCATTCCCAGCGCTCCGGGCCCAGAGGGATGTGCGGGACTCCATCGGGATCCCATTCCCAGCGCTCCGGGCCCAGAGGGATGTGCGGGACTCCATCGGGATCCCATTCCTAGCGCTCCGGGCACGGGGGATGTGCAGGGCTCCATCCTCCAGAACTCCTCCAGCCCTCAGGACTCCATCCCCCGGCGCTCCCGGCCGCACCGCCCCGCAGTGCTGCGAGTGCCCATTGGTGGAGACCCCCTCTCGGGCAGCCAATCGGGCCGCGGCTCCTTCAGCGGGGCGCGGCGCTGAGGGCGGGCGATGCGCGGGGCTCCGCGGGGCTCGGTGGCCGCCGGGCAGCGCCATGAACCTGGGGTACGGAGCGAAAGGGGCCGCGCCGGGCGGGCGGCGGGACGCGCTCTCCGCGGAGTGCAGCTGCTCGGGGAGGGACGGACCCGCGCCAAGGCGGGAGCGATCTGCGGGACAGAGCTGGGACTAGCGACCCTTGCCGTGCGAGGGTCTCGGGACGGGCTCTGGGAAGCGGCGGAGGGAGCGGGGTGCCCGGGACAGCGGGGGCAGCGTCCCTCGGGCCCCGCCGGCTGCGGCACTGAGCGGGACGGGGCCGGGTCGGGCGGCGGCTCCGCTCAATGAGTGACCCTTTCTAAGGTTCCTCTTAGAAAGTTGCGTGCGAGCTCGAACTGCGCTGGATTTTTTTCATTGTTAACATTTTTATAATGAAACGTGAAGATAAAGTATTATTTGGAGCGTTTATCGTCACGTTGGATTGTCCCAGCGCACGGAAGACAGAAAGGCGGTTGGGTACTTGACACTGCCACGTTTTTATCTTCTCGTGAACGCTTGACAACAGCGCTTTTTGCACTTGCAAAGGTGAATTATTGTGCTGGAAGCACAGCCAGAGGCTGTTCCCATAACGCGGCCCCGCTTCGTGATCAGCGCTGGCGTTCCGGGAGGCTTGGTTAGCGATTTGTGTAACCCTCCGTTTCTATTGTCGGCTTGGTACATTCTTGAGGCGCATTGCTCTGTGTAACGATATTGAGAGGCACATGTAGTGTTAAAGATCTCCTTTGTAACATGCCACTCCAGTTTTTTCAGTATCAGTAAAAGTGTACCCTCTTCAAGACATGTTGATTTCTTTGTTTTAAGTAACTTCTCAAAACATAGCGTGGGATGTGAAGGACCATCTGAAACAACAGTAAATTCCATGCTACAATTAAGTGCAATTGTTTTTGTTATTAACGAAAAAATCGTACCGTTATCGGATTACTTAATATTTCAGATTCCTCTCTCTCTCGTTTTGCAGTGATGGACTGAAGCTTGAAACTGAAGTGCTGGATGGAAAGCCTAGGCTAATTTTAGCTTCTTCTGGTATTTTTAAAATTATTTATCTCAAGTAATCTTTAAAGCTTCTTGAAGTTAAACCTAGCATCCAAGAGACATAAAGCCCAGCTTTCCTGAAATATTTTTCAGATTAGGAAGGATGTTTGTGCATTGTTATTTACAAGTCCTCTCTCTCACCAGCTCGATGCTGAATAGTAGGTTGATAATGAACTCTGAATAGTCAGTCTGTGCACCAGGGAACAGCTGGCAAATAGTCTCCACTGCTTAGGTGGTCATTAAAATAAAAAGTTAAGTGCTATTGTGTATCAACTGGCATAACTTGATAATTTCTGTAACTTTATAGCACATTACTTGCCAGGATGGAAGAGGCTTAATAACTGCTTAATTTACACAGCACGATATTACATTTTTAAAGTCACCTCAGTATTTGCAATTAATATTTTTAATTTTCAATAAGCAGTTTATTTAGGCCAAATCTCACTACTATTGCCTGAGATATACTGGAAAAACCTATGTTGGTAATTAAGTGTTAAGAAATTCTATTTCTGGGATTTGTCAGACATATGTCTGCAATAAATTCCATTTTTGTGATTTGTCAGATATACATTTCTCTACAAGTCTACTTTCCCTAACTATTCTACATAGTCAGGATACAGAAACTCTCCATTAAATGCTGTTTAAATTATATTTAATCTTTTTGCATTTACCAGACAGCTGCCTAGTGAGGCATTATGTGGTGTTTTGAGCCAGGAAAGAATTCCAGTGCTCTTTACAACCATCTTTAACATCTTTGGCTGGGTAGGGGCAGTCTGTGTTCCAGAGTGCTCCAAAATAAAGCCTTGTCGTGGACTCTAACCTAGCCTTGAATAAGCAGTCTTTTCCAGAATTATCTTGTTTATACACGGATATTAATGGCATTTCCTTGAGTTAAATGCTGTCAAAAATTGCATCATATGGTATTTGTTCTGAATTTTGGTTTCTGCACTGAAAAACACTGCTCACATTCTTAGAGGCTAAAGTGGGATCATTCTGCAGTAGCTTAAGCTGCTATTGGAGAGTTTTTCTCTCTTATACAGAAAAAAAAACCCCAAAGAAAATAGCTATGTGTACAAGATTTCTTGAGCACCACATTCCCTCTATTAATATTAGAACGTTCTGTATTCATAAGTATTATACTGAATTTTTGAGACTACTACACCTCTCTGCATCCTCCAGGATGTGAGTTAAAAGATTGAACAGTAATTCAAGGCACAGGTGTGGGAGTAATGGAGACAAACAACATCATAGAACCAAAGAAGGCACAGAGCTCTCTGAGAAACAGTGAATAGCAGGGGAAGGTCACACTGGCACAATAATTTGATTGGATGTGTATTAAACTGTACAGGAAATAGTTACTAAAATATATCTAAATTTTTTTCCAACATACTTTTGAAGTATGTATATTGAAATAAGTAAAGTATAATAATCAGGACAGATGGTATGGGAAAATTACTTTCCCCGATTTACAAAAATTGGATGAATATAACGTTTTACTAATTTCTCAAGGTTGTTTTTCAGGAGCAAGTTGTTATTAAATACTTCTTTCATATGTTTGTGTTTGTTTCCCAAAAGATAAATCAAAGCCTGCCATGAAGGTAAGTGTAAAATTTTTAGAACACACAAATTCAGTATTTGTTAACAGAAAATTTGAGAAATCGAACTGTTTAAATACATGTAATCAATTATATTTATGAAAAATAAATACGTGCTTGTAAGTCCCTTCCAACTTGAGATACTCTTTTATTTCTCAGGTTTATAATAGCTGTTCAAAAGGATGAATGAAAAGTTTTGTGACTATTTTTATCTTTTCAAAATGCCTTAGTTTCCTTGGCCAAGAAGGTAGAGCAGCAGAGGGAATCATCTAAATCAGAACTTTCAGAGACCTTAAAGGAATTCTGGTAAAATAGAGATCTAAAGTGTGTTTAATTTCAAGTTTGGTCATGCAAGTTGTCTCTGAGTAAACTGGAATGCTGTGGGTTTGGGAAGGAGAAAAAGCAGAAAAAGGTCCCAGTGGACAAGAAATAATTAGAAGTTTGCACCAAGGACATTGGAAAGGAAAAGTCTTTAGTTCAGAGTGGAAAAGTCAAGATTGAAGTGCAGCTGGCTGCATGGTGAAAACATGTTCCTATTTGGAGCCAGGCTTCAGAAACACCGAAGTAAAGCAGATTTAATGCTTGTTAATTATTTTAAATATCATGCTACATAAACTTATTATTCATACTGTCATTTTGAATTACTCAAATTCTGGTGCTGTGTCCTCTTCCAAAATATTCCTGGTACTCATGAAGATATTTTATTAGCTTATACAGAGTTTCTACTGATGGAACAGAAAAGAAAAATAACACTTCTTTTCCTTGTTGCTTCAATCTTTTTTTAATTTGTTGCAAATACAGTTTTTTCTCCTTATTTAATAGATGCTGAAATCTTTTTGCTTTAACAGATGGGTAATAAAGCCAGAGCACCTAAACAGGCATTGAGAATGAAGCACACTGGACTCATCTTGAGGCCAACACAAAATGCTTGTATCAAGCAGGAAAGTTTAACAAAACCAAGGAGTGAATCAAGCTTATCAATGACAAAAGGTGAAAAACTGCAAGTTAATAAACATTCCTCACATGAAACCACAACTAAAGGTTGCTCTTTGATTTTCCAAAGAGATAAGACAAACAGAGATCCTGATTCAGAGGATCCTAGTATTGTGAAAAAAACTAAACACAAACCTCAAGCCCCACATGTATCAGCTGAAGACTTAAAAAGTTTGGTGTGTTTAACACAAGCACAGCTTCAACAGATTTTGAAGATTGTTAAAGAAGGAAGAAGCATCTCTGAGACTCATGAAAAGGAAGAGGAAGTGGGTAAGACACCAGCCACTGGATGCATTTGTTTCATGGAAACGGGGCAAAATGTGAAAGCTTAACTTTGAGTTGGTAATTTAAGTTTATTGGCACATTGGACACTTATGTTGGGTGGTCTCAGACAAAATACCATTTGCCATTATTGTTACTGACATTGTTACTGTGAGGAAGCAAGCATTTCAGAATTATAACAGTAAAAAAGATTGTTTGATGGATTTCCAGTTTTCTGAAGAGCAAACCAGCAAGAAACGTCACTGTGTGATGCAAAATAAGAACCATTTTACACTGGGGGGAAAAACAAGTGCACTGTACCACTGCCCAAAGAGAAGGGCCCTTCTGGTTTGTGAAAGTTCTGCCTTCCTCTGGGTCAGCAGCAGTTCTGCCATTTTCCTATGGCCAAAGATGAATATGTGTCTTTTTGCCTAACTGGACTCTTACTGCTGAATAGTGTTTTACTTTTCCTTTCCCCAGTTCTTCTACTCAGAAGTGTAAGAATTAGTCCTTACCTTCCCTTATTGCATCCTTCCTCCTTTTGAAGGATCTATGCAGGGGGTCAGCTTTTGCACCAAGAATAAGACATGCTGCAGTTAGAGTCCCATACTCTTGAGCCCTTAGCCAAGAATAAGTCATTACTAAGTCTAGCATTTTAAAAATACCCTATGAAGGTCTAACTTAAGTGCCTTAACTATATAAGCAGGGCTGAAAACACTTTTGTTAAAATGTGGGGAATTTGCAAGGTTTTGCTGCCAAGTATTTACTCAAAGCTGAAGCAAGTTTAGTGGTTATATATACATTTATATATATTTATGTTCTACTACAGCTATTAATGATGCATCAGAGGAAAATGTTACACCATCACTCCAAGAAGATTGTGAAGTGTCCCCAGTTCCAGATGAAGCAAACTCTCATTCAGGCAGAAAACAAGAAGCACATCCACAGCCAGGACAGAGAGTAATGTAGGTACATTTGTGTTACTGGGTACAAAAACTGTGTCTCCAGTAAAGGTTCATATCATATGTTCTTAATAACATTAATATTGTTTATAAATACTGATTTAAAAGTTACCTCTAAAATCTTTCCCCTCCTTCCTTTTCTCTAGAAAGGATTCATGGAAACCTGCTGACTTGTTTAGTACCTTGGGTGAAAGAGAAAGGGAGAAAGCCTTATTGGAATTTAAAAAGACCCAGTGGAAGAAGGAATTAGGTACTTATGTTGTATAAAATACTTTTTTGATCAATTTTTATTACACTCAGAATGCCAAGAAACTTGATATTCCTTGTGCCCTTTTAAATTTACTTATTTCAGTACAGTTGCTACAAATTGAAAAGTAAATAATAGGTCTCCAAGACAGATTAAGGTTCTTGAATTTCAAAAGTTTATGCAAAGATCATAAATTCTTGCAAGAAATACTTTTTTCACAATTAAATATTATCTCAGATAAATGTATTGTTATGCTTTGTATTTTATGTGCTACTTGCCAGCAGTTTTGTCACATTCTGACAGTAGACAGCCATTATCTTTTAAAAATTCATTTGTTTTTTAATGGGAACAGCATAACTCCAATCTACAAGCACGAGTGAATGTATGAAATTGCAATTTGAACTTGAGAGAGTTTGCAGTCCAGCCCCATCACCAATCAAGAGGAATCTCTGGAGGAAACTAAAATTGTTTAATACAGTAGTAAATTCTCTCTGACAAATTAAGCTTTTTATGATTCACATGGAGGAGTGCTGTGTTTTGTTTTGAACTTGGATTTAGACCATTTGGTTTCAAGGTTTAATTCTGCATTGTCTGTAGCTTCCATTATAGCTCCATTGGTTTTAATAATACTAAAATAGTTCAAGACTGGTTTAATAAAATGGAGAGAGTTCATCTACTTGGTTATTTGTTAGTTTTCCCTGGGTAATTGTCTCAGTCTTCTCAGAGAGATTCCCAGTTACCTCTGCAGCCCTGGGCAGACACTCACTTTGCTTTTAAGAGCAAGGTCATGACTGATTGTTCAGACTGATTGGTGACACCTCTTGTGTCCATTTCACAGTCCAAGTGACAGGGGAGACATGCATTGCTGTCTTTTTTCTTTAACTGATAAATGTTTGCAATAGGAACTCTTACTAGAGTTTGGTTTTGTTTAAGATGAACAGGTAGCACTGAAGAAGAAACTGAAAGAAGCTTTGGATGGAGAGGTGGGTTATTTCTGGGCACAACTTGGCAGTAATAAAACCCATAAAGTGGAAACTCCTGACCCAGACCAGGTAAGCCTGTCAGTAAATACAAGAGCAGTTTCCAGAGCACTGCTGCAGAACAGTTTAACTTCTCATTCATAGAAGATTTTATTTTCTGTACAAATGCTCTAGAATCCAGTTTTGGTGGTGCTTTAAGCCCTCTCAGGGCATGAATTACTGCAGCTCCCTGGTCCACATTGACTTGTTGCTCCAGCTTGTAACTTCTCAGTGTAAGATCTTTATAGCAGGAAGCACCCATTCCTGTCCCTCCATTTGGATTCCTGACTTTTCAGTAAGGTGTAAATCTTTTCAAAAGTGTAAATCTTTTCTTGTTCTGTTTTGGGGAAGAGTCTCAAATGTAATTCCTGTCTATACAAATTATAGAAATTGTTCATGAGCTCTCAAATATATTTGATTGCTTATGTAATGAGCATAGGTAATATAACTTTTAGCTTTTTAAAAAGCTGTCATTCTCAAAACATTGTGTTAGATAAATACATTATACTCACAGGACTTCTCCAGTGAAATTTACTGCTGTTAAACAGAAGTTGGGGTTGTATCTGCTATAATTTCTTACAGCAAAAGCAAATTGCACTTTTTTGTGGCACGTTCAGCATTCCTAACAAAGTTTTGACTGTCCCATAAGAATTTGTTTCAATCTACATAATTAATAAATAGTGGACAAAAGATGCTTATTTTGGGCTGATGTTTTAATGAACAGCAGCTTCTAAAAGTATAATTTTGTTAGCAAATGAAACAGGTGAATTAAATAAGTCTCAGAATGGTCCCTTTATTTGCAGACAGTGTTTCCAGCTGACTCAGTTCATGGCACTGAGGAGAACTCTGCCTGTAGAGCTGCTTTAGCCACAGAGGCTGATGGAGTTGCACTGAATGTTCCCAGAGCTCCAGCTGGGCAGTCTGCTGATGTCAGTTCTGACTTTCCAGCTGGCAGCTGCACAGCATTGGCTTTCAGGGTAAGATCTTAAATTGCATGCAGGTTTTTTTTGCTTATTTATTAACAACAAATGTTTGTATCAAGAAGTTCTTTTAAACTAGAAGAATTCCTTAGACTTTTTTGCTGTGCATAAATAACTTAGTCTGAATGAATGTTTACCAAAATATCAATGCTTTGAAGATAGCACTTCCTTCAAGGTTGGTGTGAAGAACAGTACTAGAGGTATGACATGCAGTATTAATTAGTTTTTAATTATGTGTTGAAGAAATAGAGAAGTGGTAACCTATATAAAATAAAAGATATTGATGGCAGAAGGTTCAAGAAGAAGGTCTGAAGTTATGCTGGTAGGCAGTGATTGAAGAGAATTTTTTGTCAGATGGTATTGGAAGTTCTCAGTGCCACTGGAGCTTGTTAAATAATTCAGAGATCCGTTAAGAAGCAGAAAGAGAAGAAAAAGGATGGTAGCTCCTTAATTTGAGACTGATCACTGCAAATTAGATTGTGATGCTAAATCTACCTGGAATGCAGACCGAGCAGTGAACCACAGAAAGAAAAAGGAATTTCTGTTCGTAATACAAGTAAGTGGGGTTTTCTGGAGTGAGATGGTTCAAGTAGAAATTATCTCTCTACTAGCAGTCAAACACCTGCTGCAGTTACAAACTTACATGGTTTTATATGCTAGAGAAAGGCCCAGTTTTGCTCACCAACCGAAGGCAGAGCTTTCTGCCAAGTCTTTATTATGTGGCTAGACAAGATATTAGGTTTTTGTAGAACTAGCAGTTATCTAATTCCAGGAAGCTGTGCCACAGGAGCGACCTTTCAGTGCTTTGAAGCACGAGCAACAGAAGAAGTGGCTTGAAGAGTTGAACAAGCAGAAGGAAGAAGCTAAACTACAAAAAATAGAAGAAAAACTTAATTTATCAAAGGTATCTGTGGTTAAGAGGGACTTTATGAAAGAAGTCTTTGTTTTAAGAAATAAAAAATGTAATTAGTAAAGTGGCAACAAAGATGGAATTTTCTGCAGCACTTCCAGGTTTTCCCCATAAGGATGCACTTACTGAACATTGAGCCAGTGGCTGTTCAGTATTTCAGTGCCTGGTGTGTTAGAGGGCTTGCTCCAAGGATGGAGACAGTGGTAGCATCACCAAAAATCAGGGAGAAAATAAAGCCCTCTGGCACTATATGTGAAGTGATAGAGAATCAGGCATTACTTCATTTTCTGGCCAGGATGTGCCAAGGAAAATATTCCAAACACATATGTTTTTGCAGGTTTCTCCCCTAAACTTTATACAGTCAAAAACTATACAGATGCTCTGTTTTAAAGTTCATTGGTCCAGAGTTGAGCAACCCCCAGGATTCAGTTTCCCATTGGATTTGAATCTCCTCACCTCAGCTGTTAATTAGATTTTAATTCTCACCAGTCTTTTCCGGACTAGATGTCTCCAGTTGTGCCAGAGGCAGCATCTGAGGGTAGATGTTCTCGATGGCCACTGATGCTCTGTTGATGATCTTTTATCTTTCTGAGTATCTTTGGGCTACTCCCAGTCTGTGTTTATGTTCATCAGCCCATCTCCTTAAGGGTGATGCTACATCTCCTAAGAAAACTAAAGAAAATTCCTTTCCCCAAGGTAAAGTCGAGTCAAGCCTAACTAGAGAGACAAAAATTTAAAACGTAATATTGTTTCCAACAGTAGTGCTATACTTTCTTTCTCTTCTCCACCATGTGTAGAAGCATTTGGGTTTGCAAGGTGGTGTAGAGACCATTGCTAGACACTTTGGAAAAAGAAAATTTGTGACCACTGGAGGTGAGAAAAGAGAAAACAACTACAATGTGCCACAGTGATGCCAAAATCCTGTTCCTAGAAATACTTTTTGAATACACATACACACTCATGAAGCTTTAAAACGGTTAAAAAGCAAGCACTTCTCCAGAAAGTATTGAGGAAAGCCTTAGCTTTTTTTACTCCCAGACACAGCCTTGCTGCCAGGGGTGGTTACAGACCTACACACAACACAAGTCTTGTCTTTTCCCGAGTTGCTCAAGGGATCAGGCTTCCTTTGTAAACTGAGTTTTTTAACTGTGAAGGGAACACAGCTGGGAAAGGTTCCTTCATTAGCTGCTTTGTTGTTAATTGGGTAGGTGTGCTGTGCAAGGAGGGCACCAGGGAGTGACCTTTTCCTTTTTTTCATGAAAATGTAGTAGCAATATGTGCTGACCAGGTATGGATCAGCATTAAAATTTCTGATCTGACTTGCATTTTAAGTAACTGAGACACTTGTCTTCTCACTTGAGGAATTAACTGCTGTCTGCATTGTAGCTTTTCAAATGTTCCTGGTGTACACAATGTGTATTGTGTGTTTTATTGACCACACTTTAGAAAAACAGTGTAACTGAATGCTTTTGTTTCTTTTTTTTTTTTTTTGTTGGTATTGCTTGATACTCGTTTAGGCAGAAGAGCGTGACAGATGGGAAATGCATTTTGATTCTTTTAAGAACCACTTTAATGCTAATGCACAACACCCCTTAAATGGAATGCACAGAAAGCCTGAAAATCTGTCCCTGTCACCTGACCCCAAGGACCCAACTGCTTTCATTCACCCTTTGTCACCTGCACCTTTAGGCAACCTCATGCCCTTACAGATGGGAACTGCAGAAAAAGCTGCTAAAAATGGTGCTTTGGAACAAACTCAGAGAGTCAGGTGAGTGAGCTTTGTAAGGGTAATTATTTTCCCAGCCAGTACATTTCTGGTACCTCCTCAAAAATAAAAAAAAAAACATTAAAAAATCCTTTACATTGATTTGGCTTTTGCTTTTTTCCAAATACCTGTTGTTTCAGTATTGAAAGTGAAACACAAGTGCTGCCATTGTTTATTAATGAAATTTACTGCAAATAATTTCACCTTGACCCTTAATGAAAAGGATTTCATAATCTATTCCTTAATTTATATATTAATTTATAATTAACACAATGGAATAACCTCAATATGAAAATGAAATCTAACTGATTCTAATTAAGAAAAGCTTAAGGATTATTTTCTAATGATTAAAACAGTGACATGTCCCTTTGTTCAGTTTCCTCCGTTCCATGACAGCTCTGCTGGACCCTGCACAGATTGAGGAGAGGGACAGGAGGCGGCAGAAGCAGCTGGAACATCAGGTAGACTTTGGTTTTAAAGCCTCAGACTTTTTTAATAAGAAAAGATGAAAGGTAATGTCTCATGAATAAAGCATGAAATTTAATACCAGAGCCCAGGGAGGCACTTGACTTTTATGCTTTAGATGACATGTGCATTGTTTGGCAGTATTTCCTTCAGTCAGACTCTACAGTTCTCTTTCAATATTTGCACGAGATTATTGCATTTCTGTAACTGAATTCCTGCCTCAAAAAATGTGCAGTTCAGTCTTTAGGGCTCTAGCAGGTTTGTGTGCATTTTCCTTCAGTCTCCACTGTTACAAGGAGGAGCAATCTGATATTTACAGATTCCCACTCCATGAACCTTTATTTTTTTATCTACTCTACTGACATTTACCTAACCTCTGTGGCACCCTAACCGTGTCTGTGTGCTGGTTTGTCTAGCACAGCCTGAAGAAGTCTCAGTATAAATGCAGGGCCTGTTCTGATCACATTGTTACTCTGATGGATCAAACTCCTGGATTACTGTATGTGCATAAGGTGAAAATCAGACCTTCATATCTCTACAAAGCAAAAAAAAAAGTATTTTCTAAAACATAAAAAGCTCCTTTTTTCTATCTGAGTGTTTCAGACTGCTCAAATGTGGGCTGGTGGTTTTCCAGAAACAAAACCAGGAGTGTTTGAAATAAACTGTCTTCAATTTTTTTTTCACTTGTCCAAATCCAATTCTACACATATACAAAAATACACTAATAAATACCTTACAACACATTAATGTTTTATCTGTTACTTTACCCTTTTTGTTCTGATCCTGCCAGAAAGTAATAATGGCTCAGGTGGAAGAAAAACGGAAGAAGAAGCAACTGGAGGAAGAGCAGAGAAAATGGGAAGAACAGCAGGAAGAACTGCGCCTGGCACGAGAAAAAGCACAACTGCAGAAACAGTTTGAAGAAGAAATGCTGAAACAGAAACAAAAGGAGGTGGGGTTTGCATTATCTTTAGTGCAGATAGTCAGTGATAACACTGAATTCTGAGAAAAAGACTTCTTGTTCTTCACTTGCAAAATTTTGCTCATGATTTTGAAAGTTAAAGCCATGCAAAATGTAGACATTTGAAACCAAATATCTGCTCTCTTAATTAATAAACATACAACACCATACAAGAATAAGGCCAGATTCTTGTTTTGAACAAGTACCTTTTGAGGAAGAGAATTATAAGAACTGGCAAAACCAGAAATGTACTTTTAAATAGTGCAGAAACATCTGTTTTAAAATGCAAATTGAAATTTTAAAAATCCCTCGAAGTATGTGATCCATTTATTGTTATTGGTAACTTGATGCTTTTAAGGTGCTTCAGTACCATGAAGTTCATCTGAGTGAATGTACTTGAATTGAAGACTTCTTAGGATGTAGTCTGGAAAAGGCATTTTAAAAGTCATTCAAGTTTTCCATCTTTCCCCTGCATAGCTCTTGCTGACCTTTACACAGTGCTTTTATATAAAAGTTAAACCAAAGGTACATTTTGACCTTTGGTAAACACAGATTTTGCATTTCTGTCTCTCTAGCTCTGTGGAAGGTTAAAGACTTGGTCTGATGTTTCATTCTTCATTTTGGCACAGTAGAGCTATTCCTGTTTGCTTCCTTTTTGGAGCAGTAGCAGATTCCATGTTGTCGTAAGACAAGGTGATTCCAGAAACAGTCTTCTCCAAAGCCTGCAGAAATGTGGATTCCTGATTTCTCTGCATTTTCTGGATGGAAATGTGTAACATCTGCCTGTAGATGCTTGAACAGACTGGTTCAACATGGGGAAAGTCATCCTTCTGTGTAACTGCTCAGCTCCTTTGAAACGTGTGACAGCATCGTTTGTTCTTTCCAACTGCAAATGCAGGAGGGAGTGGAATCAGCTGCTAATAACAGTTGGGAAATGAGATTTTCCTTGGCCCAGTCTCCTGCACCTTGAACCACTGAGTCAGGGAACTGTAACCCCCTGACATTTGCTGGGGTTCTTTTACTGTCTCCTTCCTGTGCAAGTAGGAGTAATGTGGGGTTTATTACTTTTATTTAGGTTCCTTTCATTTCATTAAACCACATTTTACAGGAACTCACAGATGGCTGACATCAGATGGCATCTAGAAAAACAGGAATTTATTAGAAGGGAAATAAATATCCAGATAACTTGGAGGATCTAAATGCTCATTTTTTAATGCTAAGACTGAAGATCTTTCATTAGTACAGCAGAGGTTCTGAACTTAGAATCACAGAAATTATAGGTTACATACTGTACTTAACTAGTTTTTGCTTTGAAAAAAAAAAAAATAAAAATAAAAATACATATAAATCTTGAGGATTATATGATGATTAAATAATCAAATTTATTTTATTTCCAAATAAATAATCACATATTTACCTTGTTTGTTTTTTTTTCCAAGGACCTTGCAATTCTTAAGGCCAAAGAGCTTTACCAGACAGTGGAGAAAGCTCAGGAATTAGCCCAGGGATCAAAACAAGAGCAGCACATTCCAGACTTGGCTCAGAAGGCACATGACATTTCAGAACTTCAGAACAGTCTTGGTGGTGGCAAGTATAAAGCTGACACTCAGTTTGCCTGTTCCTTTGGTTGTTTCTGGGATTGGGGTGGTTTTTTTTGGTTATTGTTTCCCTGTGTGCATTTAGGTCACAAACCAAATTTCATTACAGTTTATTTACCTTTCAAACAAATCTAAGCCTTAACTCTGATGGAGAGTATTGTGTTTTAGTAAGTTTCAAATACTGTATCAGGTAAAGGAAAAAATGCAAAGATATTGGCAGAAATGCACAAAATATTCAGACCTGTGCACTATCAGATTTCCAGTGGAAAAGAGGGAGTATTGGGATTTGGACCAGAGCTCTCAGTATTGCTTTAAGCTCTAAACCACAAGAGTCTGGTAATTCTGGAGCATGGTTTAAATTGAACAGAGGTCACTAAATGGAACAACTTTACCACTTTTCAGGTGATACAGAGTTTGGAAACTGTAATTCTGGCATTTCAGCAGGAAGCACCGATTTCCCCGATGGTGTGGGGAGTCCCCCTGAGCAGCAGGCCTCCCCTCGGAAGGACACAGCGGTGCAGACAGGTACAGAGCCCAGCTGAGTGACACTGAGCGACCTCCAGGGGGACCCTGCTTGTGAAACTGAGCCAGTCACCGATACTCACAAGGAATAAAGCTAGAAAGAAATACTTGCACAGACACAGTCATGTTGGTCTATCACAGTGTACCACTTTATTCCTCTATTTATCACTGTTTATTATTATTTATTCTTCTAAATATATTTCTGTACAGTTAGTACTTATCATTTACAAATCCCATAGTCTGGAATATAGTGACAGCTTAGGGTCACAAGCCATGTAGGTCCAGAATTTTTAAGTAACTTGATTTGGTTCTCCAGTCTTCTGTGTTTTATCCCTTTGTCAACTGAGTTTGCTTCTACAGGTCCTGTCTGTCTTCCACAGACAAAAAGAATTAAAAAAGCATTCTAAAACTGTAGAAATAATTTTTTTAATAAAGTAATGATAGTTTGATACATATACAAAAATAACCAAGTAATCTGAATAGCTCAGACTTGGACTTAAAATACAATTTTTTTTTTTTTAGATTGCTTTAATACTTCAGCGTACACTGAGTCAGCTGAGGAAAGAACTGCATGCTGTGAATCACCTGCTATTTCCATAGAATATAAAGAAACCTCTAACAGCAAAAAATACCAGAAGGAAATGCAGTATATGGATAAAAATAAACTGTCAGGAAAAGAGACTGGCGGTATTTACAGTGATCTATATGATCAATATGCAAGAAAAGAAAGACACATTAAATCTTCAGAAAAATACAGCAAAAGACCTGACTGGAACATAAACAAGCCCGGGAAAAGATACATTCCAGCCTCAGAAAGGTACCCAAAACCACTGCAGAAACAGAGGGAGGAGAACAAAGTGCGCCGCCAAATGGAGCTGCTGCAGCTGCTGGAAAGGAACAGCCCCGGGCAGCTCAGCGCCAGGAGGGGGGGACACGCAGCCACGTCTCCCTCACCTCGGCAAGAAACGGCTGTGAGGAGCAAGGGCCACAGAGGCAGAAAGGTGGGTCACTGTCTGCCCTGTGAGAACAATGCTGTGTTATTGAGACTCTTGTTCCTCACAGTTTTACCTGGGTGGGAATTCAGTTTTGTAGCTGCAGCATTGGAATTCTCCTATTGCTCATTCTTATGTCAGCACTCTGTTCATCAGGAGCAAAAGAACACATTCAGATTCTGTGACTGAGTTTTTACTGTAATTTCAGTCTTCCAAAGTGTTGATTCCTTTTTCTTTTCTCACTAACACAGATTCATTATGTAAATAGAGAGTTTTACACACTGCAAGCAGTGTGCAGGACACAGTGACATGACTGACTTGCTTTTTTTGTCCAGTCATTGTGCTGTGCTGACAGATGAGGTACAGCAGTCCCTGCTCAAGAAAACAATGTTCATTTCTGTAAAGAATATGGATTACTGAGGAGGTACTCCCTTGCCACAGAAACTCCTTAGTAGAGTCATTCTCCATTTGCAGCAAGCATTGTATCAGTAGAGCTTGTGGCTGGAAAAAAGTCTTCTCAAGAAAATATTATGAAATATATTCTTGGCTTCTCTCATGTCCTCTCTCTCACTTGCTCACTCTTCTGTATGCATACATGCTTCACTTTCTCACACCTTCAAATAGCAAAACTCTGGACCTTTCCTTTAATATCTTAGATTGATAGGATTATGAATTCCTGTGTTCCAAGAACATAGGAAAATATACGTAATATTTGATAGTGCTTAGAGCTGCCCAAGACAGAAAATTGGAGCAAATCCTCCTGTTATTTGTTGGCTTATTTCATGGGCACTGCAAGTCTCTTATATGCAAATCTTTGATAAATACCTTTCTCCTGAAGCCAGGTCAAGCAGTCCTTTTGGAATTTAAGAACAAACTGTCTCTGAAAAGTCAAAGCTTTTAATATAAATACACTGAGATTTTTTGTTTTACTTTTGACTTTTTTTGTTTTCTCCTAGGAAGAAAAATTTCATAAGAATCACTTGAATGAAGAAAGGTATGTAAATTCTCTGCATTAATGAAAAGTAGAAATACGTTATTACTGAAATGCACACGCTTTTCTTTCCTGATGTTTTTGAAGTATTTAGCTGTATCTAATTGTTTACTATTAAAAATACACCAGACCATACAGATGGCAGGTATAAAAGCAGAGTAAATGAACAAAATGAACAAACATGCAAAGATTCTTGGTCTCTATAACTGGAGAAAATCACATTACTGAAGTATTGTTTGGACTTTTTGTAACTTCAGTTGTTCCATACAGATCTGAATCACCACCCGTTCCAGCAGTTAGGAAGAGATTACTCCAAGTACAGCAAAGAGAGCTCCAAGCTTCTCATTTGCTGGTGCAGGAGCAGCACGGTGGAGGAGAGGCCGAGTCCCAGCAGAGGAGCTGCCCCCGTGCCGAGCCCGCCAGGCCGCCCTCGGCTCAGTTCGTGCCCTACGTGCGCACACGGGAGGTTTTCTGCCTTCAGCCACAGACAGCGCTGAGCCAGCACCCGCAGCGCCACGGTACTGCAGCCCCGGGAGGGGACACACGCGACACTCACTGACACGGCAGGGCTGCACTGCCAGCCGATTCCTGTTCGCTTGTACTGAACTGTGCTGCTATCCCTCCATGTCACGACACTGCACAGAAAACCAAATTATACTCGGTATTAAAAAAAAATTAACAAACAAAGTTTTAAAAAAATCTGAAAAGCAACAAAAAATTACATTACCAATTTATTTTTTGTTTACCTTTCATGAAGTATGATTGCATTTCCTTGCATTACTCTATAGAGATTGGGGTTTAGGAATCTGAAGTGTTGTTTGATTTAAAAATAGAGATTATGATCTCGATAGCAACCAACCTCTGATTTTTACAAACTTTCAAAATCTACTTAAAAATTAAAATAAAATTAATAAAGAGGTTTATTAACTGATTTAATATACATTTACTTTTAGATTCTTACCAAATGCCACGACAGATTTTTAGCTCAGATCACGTTAGAGATCCTCTTCTAAATCCTGATGTAGTTACAATCAGAGAGAGACAACAAGCAATTCTTGAAGGATTGTCAAAGTTACGGCAGGTAAGCAGAAATGTATTGGATAACTGTGCATGTCTATATATATACTGAAGTAAAAATTATCACATCATTATCTTTAATTCGATATCCATAATTTGATTTATGTTTTGGACTCTGTCCTCTACTTCTGTTCCATTTTACTAATTTTGTTTTTCACGTGTCGCTTATACTTTTGGAGAGTATTTAGAGAAGATGGACTCCTCGGTCCTTAAATCATCTATGAAACAGTGAAGTGCCTAAGCAAACTTAAAACCAAGAGAAATGACTTTGTTTAGTGTCCAGGTTTCTATGGTTAGAGTTGTTTATAGGGAATGTATCAGTTTCAAAAGAACAGAGTTTTAACACAACACTAAAACCTTGTTAATGAGGTTTCTTCTCTGCAGTTCCCAGGTCAGAACAGAACAGTGGGGTTGGTGGGGTGGTCTCCTGTCAGGCCTGGAAAAATCCTGTTATTTGCAAACTGGAAGTGTCAACACTTAAAAAATCCTTCAAAGACAGCTGCTACTTGTTAGCATGTAAAAAGAAAATTCAGGATTTGTCAATCAGCCAGGTTTTCTGAAAAGAAAATTAAAATTAGCTTAATGCGACAGACACATGAGCTTCTGAGATAAAAGCCTGCGCGTTTTTGTGTACATTGTTCTCTTTGTAGTCAGGTGCTGGTAATGGCATTGGGTTAATAAAGCCCCAGTGAATTGGATACTGCACCTGTTGGCAACAAGGTGTGGCCACAGCCACTGAAGGCACAGGTCTGGACACGTACACGAGCACTTCTATGTTTCTAAATGGCCTGACAGGACTGCAAGACAAAAAGATATTTACTTCAGGCTTGCCTTTTCGTTGTGAAGAACACTGAAAATAAACACGTACCAGTATCTTCCTTTGCTTTTCAATGGATGCAAACTAAATGTACCATACTGCTAGCAGCAGGATTTTTCTCTGCCTTGAGAGAGGAAAATTTCATAAATAATCAAAATAAAGGAAAGAAAATCTGACAATGAAGCACAACAAAATTAACAGTAGTTGTTGCTATGGATTACCTGTTGTGTTTTAGACAGAAATACTGCCATGTACACACAGTGCTTCAGCAGGAGGTAAACTCCTCATGCAAAAAAAGGCTCATGACTCTCCCCAGGTCAATAAGAAAAGTTGTGACCCAAGAACACTGAAAGGCTGCCAGTTTCTAACAGCTTCCACATTGGTTTCAGTGGATCTGGTCTTCCCCACTGCTCATTAACATTTTTGTTAAATATCTACAGCTCTTAGGTATTTTGGCTTCTGATCCAAAGGAATCTAGTCCACAGCAGTAAAGACCTTTACTGGTGCCAGGAGCATGCACATCCCACTGTTGTTCCTTTCACACCAGCTTTTATACTTGTACAAATCTGACACCAATTCCGTTATTTATCTTGGAGTCCCAGATCTGGGGGCTGGGGCCTTACATGACTTGTGGTTTTCTTACCTTCAGCTTACAAATACAACACACTATTTCAATCTAACTCACACAAATAACTACATCTTCCTTTATGACACAGATATCTTCCCATTAGACTTACAGGCCACTTAGACCTATTTCACTGATTACACTCTAGTTCCTATCTGTTGTAGCAGAACCCATTCGTTTGCCTCTTCACTGTTTTCTGCTGGTACTTTGGGAGTTTTCCATTCGTTATCACATTCAGCTGGCCAGGGCTGGGTCCTTGTTTGGGAAGCAGTTAGTTATCACTCAGAGAAGAGGGCTAGGTCCCTCCTTGGGAAGCAGTTCCAGTTTGCAGTAGCCCCTAGGTCCTTGTACTGTTCACAGCCTGCAGTGGTTCACCTTGTTGAGACAAGTCCATATTCTGTATTTCACTTCACTTGCCTGTGGCATTTTGCTTAGGAGTGAAGCCAGATTCAGGGTGCAATTTGATCCTTGTGCTTGCTGAGGATACAAAAGCCAGGGTTATTTAAACAGGTTACAGTTGGCAAGCTTAGAGAAGCCAGGTAAGCCTACAGACAATTCTGCAGTAGCTAAAAAGTAACAGTAAGGTTAGTCTTTCACTGGCCTTTGGTTCTGCAAGAGTTTACTTAAAAGATGTAGAGTCCCTTTATAAATACCCTGCCAGCTACAGAAGGCATTTAAGAAGTGACCTGTTCCATTTCAGTATATCTTGTATCCCTAAGTATTGTGTACTACTCTTGATGTGCAGATGACCCAGGGAGAAGAGAGGGCAAAGGGAGGGTGAGTCTGTCACTGCATTTGCTACAAGACAGGAAATCTCTTCCTACGTCTCAGGTCACAGCAGGAATAGGAATTAGCAACAGACTCACTTTCCTCACCGAAATCAAAGGTCAGTGGATAAGCCGAGCAAAGTGAATTATTTGTGAGAAAGAAGGGCCAAAGTTTAAGAAAGAGAAGGACGTCCCCTCAGCCCCAGGTCAGTCCTACCTGAGCAGCCCATTGTTCCTGAGGCGGCAGCAGCAGCTGCCAAGGGCTCAGGTGACAATGGCTGGGTGGGGAAACACTCCCACGGCTCCCTGGGGAGCTATTTCCCATTGCTGAGCACCTTCCCAGTACCTGTGCAACCCATGTGATAAACACTGAACTGCCAACTTGCAGAGTTACTTCTTCCTCAGCTCTTGGTTTATTTAGGGCCGTTTATTTTATAACTTGGTTTTGTGACATGCTTCCAAATGCAAAAAATGCTCTGTAAAAATAGTAATTATTGACACAGAGACTGAAAACACTGGCCCATTAATAGAAATAAGCAGATCCTGTTGATTAATTAGAAAGCAATTCATCAAGTGATTGAAAGTAGGCAGCTGCTGTCTTAGAAGGAGCCAGAGTGGACTCTCATAGGCTGCTTTGCTGACTTTCCTTTGGTGCCACCAGGAATCTGTGTCTAAATTGCTGTAGGAGCTGCTGCCTTGCATTAGGTCTGTACTGAGCTGTGCCAGCAGCCTGTAATTTATCTTTGAGAAAGGCCTTGTAACTCTGAGAAAAATAATTAACTTTTCTTTTTTAGAAAACAAACTTCCATGGTACCAAATTATTTCTGACAAGTCTAAAATAGATGGAGAGCAAGGAGCCAGATGTACCAATATATATGATCCTGTTAATTACAGTAAAACTACTTATTTTTAATTTATGCATATACTTGGCATAGTTCTATCATGTATGACTTGATAGGCAAGGATATATTTCCAGGTTTTTTATGACAGGTTCTCATCAGTACTTACAAGAACCATTGACACAGCAGGAGCCTTGAACCTTTTGACAGCTAATGTGTGTATCCCCCGATGTCTGACAATAGCACTGCTGCCCTTGCTCTGTATCATTTGTGTTAAGGCTAAAATGCTCATCAGGGGTTTGGATTCCTCTTCATGCAAGAATTCACGACAATATTGCAAATGCAGAGGCAGTGCACAAAGGAATGAGAAAGTTCCATTTCACACAGTGGAGAAGTCCTTTTCCCTCTGCATGGTCATCCCTGGAAACTGGCCTGCCTTCCACTCCAGTCACACTTGAAGGCTGCTGTACAAGTTCCCTCTCCCCTGAGTCTATGAAGCTGTACTGTTAATTCTGAAGTTCTGTACTTAAAAATCATTAGGCCTTAACAAGGAAATTGTTTTTAACTATGAAACAATGACATTTCATTAGTTCAAGCTACATGAGGAAGACAGAACATTCACATTTACATTTATTTCAGGGCCTCCTGCAGAAGCAGAAGGAGTTGGAGAACACTCTGATTCCCGTTGTAGCTCAAGAGAACTTCATGCCACCGTTTTGAGAGGTGCATATGAATGTTCTGAATTCTTAATATGGAAATGCACAGCACTTTGCTACTGTAATTAATTATGAACCACCTCCAGCTTTTTAATGAAAATTAAATTATGAGAATTTTGATGGACTACAGGGTCAAGTTACTTTTTATATTGAAGATACTTTAAACTCATGATGGTTTGTCTGTTTAGAATGGTTTTCATGCTACCTGAAGACAAGTATCCATTTAATATAAAACACCAAAAATATGGAAGTAAACTGTTACATGGGTTTTTGTAGAACTCTGTGTGAATTTTGATGAATAAAAATATTAAGATGTATTCTGAATGGCTTTAGTCATCTTTGTTGGTATTTTTAACTATAAAAACTGCTTGTATTTCAATATTCAGCCACTTTTTAGGCTTATAAAGTGAGTATCAATTCAAGTACTCCCAGATTTTAAGACCACACTTCATCACACAATCTGGTACAATTCATTGATAGAAGAGAGTTGTTTTTTTCAGAAAAGATGACCTGCCATGTCTGGGGACAGGGTAACCAGTGTTACACTACTCTGGTACTGGCTCTTAACTTGATTAATCGACTGTTTATAGAGGGAAATAATCAACGTTAGGCAAAAGTCTGTGGGTTTTGTTTGTTTTTTAAAAACTGCCCTTTTTAACCAACAATTTTGTCCAAATTAATTTTGTGAACTTAAGTAGTTTCAAACACTCACCTGGTACCAAACAGCACATCCCAGAGAACAGCACTAAAATCAAATTCCAAACAGGAAATCCCCCAAGCACAGGACTCGGGACAACCTGAAGATGAGCAGTAAAAGTGAGGAGTGTCAGCAAAGCCAGCAGTGCAGCAACACAAGGGTCGTCTGGAGACTCCACAGCTGCTCCCTGTGGCTGCTGCCTTCCAGAAGCCTGAGGGCAGAGGACGATGAACAAAAAAAAAGAATCGCTGAGGGGGAAAAGGTTGGTAACTCAGCAGATGTGAAATTCAAAAGACAGGATTAAGAAACAGAGCAAACTGTACTTACCCTAGGCTAGTTCACTAAATAAATAAACAAAACAAAACAAAAAAAAAGCCAGAAAGCCCCAGGAATCATTAAGCTGAAGTGGGAGAGGACTGAAGTTTTTCTGATGCAAACTGAGCTCCCACAGTCACTAAAGCCAGGTTTGTCCTTCTCACAGTAATCCCAGGGGCCAGATAAAAGCTGGTAGGACACCATGGTGCTGCAGTGGCACACAGCACCAAGTGACACACAGATAATTGCTGTGCATGAAACCAAGCTTGGGTTCCTCAAGCACTTTGCAAACAATGTAAAAACCACAGACAAAGCAATGTGTTAGCAAGCCCCTTGTGCATTAAGAGTTTATTGGACTTTTTGTAATGGAACTGCACCATTGGTTACTCTAATTGAGGTATTTAGCCAAAATCCAGTATATACTCATGAAAATAAGTACACTGCCTTAGAGCTATGTAAAAACATTGTACAAAATTTGTGTCAATGTCAAATAAATACATTAATTTCAATATTTATGTAAAGAAACATGACTTGGATACTCCTGCAGTTAAAAAAAGAAAACAACTGGCTCTTTCACATATTTTAGGCAAACATTCAGCTTTACATTAAACAGACCTCAAACTGAAGCCTAGGTAACAGGTCAAATACAAATGTAGAAACTTAAAAGTGCCAACAAACAAGATAATTCAAGTACAGTAAACATTAAAAAATATATGTATTTATTTAAATTTTCAGATGGTTCCAACAGGGACAAGCCATCGGGAATTTAAATAGAACATGAAAACATCTGAGATAACAAGAACAAGAAACATTTTGTTCCAGAATAAAATAGAAATTGTTAATCCAACATTTTAGAAACAGAAGTCCACAGCAACTTAGAAAAGAGACTTTAAGAGTTCATTTGTGTTCTGAATATGGCCTGGAAGAATCACAGCAGCTATCCCAGCCACCAGGTGATGACTTTTCTGTATCCATGCTCTGACTGTAGGCAGACAGAAAATAATTGCACCCATCTTGGCTTTGATTTGCAGGAGAAATTGGGTATGTTGTTCCCAGAAAAGTCTGATGAGTGAGTACATTAAAGTGGCTGAATTGATGGGACATGTTTAATTGTCTGCTATAAACCTGGAAGTTACTGAAAGGAGTTTGTTCAATTGCATTGTATTTTTCTCCTTCAGCACAGCATGTGGTAGAAACTGGAGTAATTGGCTGTTTCTCTTCCAAGTCAGTTTTGTAAGTCTTTTCCACAAGGCCAGTTTGTGCTTCAGGAGATAACTCTGTAACTGATAAGCAGCTTTCTTTAGCATCTACTCCATGTGGGCCCTTGGCCTCTGTCTGCAAAGCTTCCACATGAGTATCATACTTAGAGGCATCACTGCAGATTTCTATTTCTGACAATTCATCCCCTGAATCCAGAGACATGTCTTCCTCATCCTTTTCATCCTTTTCTACAAGAACTACATTAAAAGAGAGAGAAAGTCCTATTCTATTGAAATACAAACTTTGGTTAAAAAGGCCATACATTACTCACAGTGTTACACTTCAGGTCTGCCAGTCCAACAGCACTTTAAGTCTTGGTCTTCAGCCACTCGCGTTCACTTACTCAACACACACATTTAACCCTCTGTGGGAGTGTCCAGTTACTCCGTGCTAAAAGCTTCTGCACACCGTGTTCATATTTAGTGCTGGGAAATCCCAACTCCCAGCTCCAAAGGGGACAATGTCAAAACAGCATCTAAAGTTACACAGCAGTGAGTATTTGATCAGACAATTAATGGAGTACAATTACTGACATCCCAGTACAGTTTATCTACTCTAAGTAGATAAAGCAGGTAGAGACAAGCCTATCCTTTTCCTGAAACCATGCCCTGTCTCATGCCTCCAATACCATGCTAACCTGTATTTCTGCATTTAAGGTCTCTGGTCTCCATCCCCACTGCTTTTCCCGCATCATTTCAAACAGAAAAAGAGTAGCTTGAGAGTTGGGTTTTCCTTGCCACCTGCAGTGGCCATTGAGCAGAGTCAAGGCACACTGCTGTCCCAGGACCTCCACCCCACACATGCAGTTTGGAAAGGAAAGTTTAAGTGTGTTTGACATTACCTGATTGTCTTTGGCCAGCACTGCAGGGAGAAAGGTGGTTCTGCTCAGTAACTGAGTTGTGATACCCAACGAGACTTTTGAAGTTATGCATAAAGTCATCAACAGCAGCAACCACTATGCCATTATCAGCATAACTCGAGAGTGTTTTGAGATTCTTTTCTGAATATATAAAAGAAGGGCTTGTATTAATAGCACCTATTAGCAAAAGAGGGGGAGAGGTATTCACAAATGTGGGGTTTACCTGTTAGGAAGACAACATGTCTCTGTTGTATGTTTTGAGCCTGAAGCCTGATGAGACAGTCAAGTTCTGGAGCATTTCGAGTTTGAGAATCACAGTTATGGTAAGACAGAATCTCAACCAAGTGCTTCTTTTGATATGCGTTCAGAAGAGTGAGCAGGTTCAGGGCATTGGCATTCATCCTGCAGTGGGGGGAAAGCTCACTATTAGAAACAATTTAAGGTCAGTCTAAACATCAAAATACAAATGTTAAGAGTAAGTTCTCTTTAAGCATGTTTTGGAAGGCATAATGAAAGCTGAAGCATTTTAACAGCTGGTATTATAGTACTTTACTTACCTCCCCAACTCTTTCAGTTTCTTTTGTATTTTGCAGTGGACTTTCCACTGCCATTTCCCATCTGGGTTATTGAGATCCTCCAGAAAGGTCAGGAACTGTTTTAGTTTATCTGTTATAGAGATATTGAATGAAAGTTAGATTTTGTGGTATGTAGACTGAAAATACTGCTTCAGTGTATACAAGAAGCTGTTTTCTGTTTTCATCACAGTACAGTCACACAATTACAAACAGCAGCCACTCACTTCACGTTTTCTTCCAGGCAGACTGGCCAACAACAGTACCAAGAAACTGAGCTGCTTCTCTGTACCTCAGGTGGCCAGCAATGGTATTTAAGAGCTGACCACAGCATACACGCTCTGCCTTGCTAAAATATTTCAAAGAATCATAACTTCATTAACTATTCAATTTCAAATAAAGAAAAAGTATATATAGTGTATGTATGGAGATAAAAGGTTCCACAGACATAATTACACAATGTCATACTAACAGAAGACAAAATCTCCATGTGTTCTTGAAAAAGACTGAATTAGCTGAAGCTCTCAAAGAACATCATAAAAATTGGAAGATCTGATCCTTCACTGTGCTGAGTACGGGACCTCTCAGGTACTGAAATGTCTGGATTTTAGTTCTAAAGCTTCCAGAAGGATCACACCTACCTGTAGTGATAGACTCTGGGTTAAGGACAGATTCATCTGACACAACAAAACCCCCAGACACAAACAGCTCATTGTAAGTGTGATTTTTCACATCATCCAAACTATCGACCCCTGCAAAGCTGACACAGGAGAGCCTCTTCAGAGTCACCAGGCCAGGGATCTGTTTAAAAACATTTGAAATCAGAGGTGTAACCACAGGTCACACAGAAAAAGGAACTACAGAACTCTCCTATCTAATAATGCCAGGCACCAAACTTCAAAATACATTTTCAAAAAATTACTGTTTCTTCTCTTGCCTGGGGTGGTGCTCTCTCAGGAGCATCACAGAAATAAGGTAAATTGATGTTGAGCATTTGGAATAATTTTACTTTCTGTCCAACACTTAAGCTGTCAAGAATAGCTCAGGTCATCTGAGAGCTGCCTTCACCTGCTCTTAGAGCATAACAGAACCAGAAGCACAATTACTCAGGCCTCTGCACAGCTTTACTACTAACAATAAATATGCATTAGCACATGCATGGTGCTGGAAGAAGTTAAAAGTAAATGTTGGGACAAGACCATTTTTACTACAACCATTTTGTTTCTTCAAACAGCAGCTAAACATAGGGCACTGTTGAGTGCTGTGCTGTTGGAAGGAAGCAGCCTTGCTCCAAGTGAGCTCTCTCACTATTGCCAACAGCTTTCTGTAGCACACAGTTACTTACGTGGGACATACCTTATGGATGAGGTTGGCAATGTCTTCATTTTGGATAATGATCAACAATTTATCTAAATCAGCTCTTCTTTTAAGGAACTGCTCTGGATGACACTCTGTATTCCCTAACTTTCGAAGATATTCCTGCCACCACAGAAAGAAGAGACAAGGAAAAAGTCAGTAGGTAGTTCGGTAAAAACAATGCCCAGATGACATCCACAGTAAGAACGTTCTCCCCTTGAGTGAATTCCCAGAGGAATTTACCTCTCCCATACATTAATAAGAA